CTCTCTCTCTCTCTCTCTCTCTCTCTCTCTCTCTCTCGTAAAGCGTGCCATGTCCTGATGTCACGTTCTCTCGTGCTGGCCACATCTCCGCCCTCTAACACCCCCTTCCCCTACCCACTTGGATGCATTTTTCAAATTTTACCTTGGGGCGGAGTTATCGTTTCACGGGGTGGGGGTAAGATACACTTTAAGCAACTGTTGCTGCCCATCTAAGTGAAGTTATATCATCTCCACAAAATCAGTAATTTGACAGAGAGCTGTTGTGAGAACGGACTCAAATCTCATTCAGCAAGTCAAAGTTTCTATTAGTCTGGTTTCAAACAGTTCTTGTTAAAGTCCATCAGCTTTTCAWCAAATTTGTTTCTTTCTTAATAATGCGTTTAAAAAATCTTTTAAACAAAACATGTTATTCTAGTTATCAAGATGCAAACTCTACCCACTTTGCTTGTTCTTTCTCTGCATTTGTGGGTTTACTCTGGGTACTCCAATGTCCTCCCACAGACCAAAAACAGGACTGTTTGGTAACTCTAAATTGTCTCTAGGTGTGGGTAAGAGAGTGAATGGTTGTTTGTCTCATTTGTATCTGTGTGCCACCCTGTGATGGACTTGTCCAGGGTGTACCAGTTACTGTACCTTGTACAGTAACTGCTGGATCCTGAAAGGAAGAAGTGGGTATAGATGGATGGACAGTTATCAAGATCTTGTAAGTTGTTGTTTGTGAGGGTTTTTCAGATCTCTGAAATATGAATGTATTTTTTGTTAAAAGTCTGCAGTCTCTGAATGAAATCCTGGCCTCAGGCTCAAAAGAAGAGAGCAAGGCAGCAGTTGAGAAGCAGGTAAAAACCATGTGGCATTTCATTTATCACACCGGTAGACCACCAGGAGCCCTCCCTCACAGGTTGTACCTGTGAGTTCATCTGTTCAATATCCTGTTTGTTCAGGTAGAGGAGGTGAACATCCAGCTGCAGAAGGAGAAGGAGAGCGAGGCCCAGGCCAGGCAGGCAGCTCGCAGCGCTGAGCAGGCCAGTGGAGGAGGAGGCGGAGGGAAGGGTTGGAATGAGGAGGACCTCCAGCTGCTCATCAAAGCTGTTAATCTTTTTCCTGCTGGAACCAATGCCAGGTAGTCCTGTGGGCTCATCCCTTTAACTTTTCCTAGCATTTTCTGTTTATATATACCTGTTACACTTGAATTTAAAACTGGAAGTGTTTTAGTTATTATCACCCATTGGCAAAGACTGACAATGTGTGTTCCTACAAGATGTTTGAACCCTTGAATTCTGTTGGTGTTGTAAGCTTTGCTTGGCCTAGTGAAAAGTCAAACTATTACAGTGCCTGTGGCCTCCATTCTCCTGATAAATACAAATACAGTTAGGTCCATATTTATTTGGACACAGACACTGACACCGTTTACATGTGCCCACCCTGCTTTTAAATGGACCAAAAGTAATTGGACAATTGATTGCTACAATATTAGGAGTGGCAAAATCTTAGGGTGTATTCAGACCAGGAAAGTCCTTTGGTCCAATTGTTTGGTCCGGACCAAAAATGGACTTTATTTTTTTCATTTGGTGCGGTTTGCATTCACATTGTGCTTTTTTGCAAACGAACTATAACTTGTAAACAAAGCCACGAGTGTGACGATCATTGCTCCCATTGGACAAAAAAAGGACGGGGGCGGGACTGAGCCACAGATCCAGAAGAAAACAAGGAAGTCCTGCATGCTGCGGTTCTGATGTGCACATTTTTACTGATAGTACAACTGCAATAGCATTTAAAATGTCAGAAGCAGCTAATTTAATGGTGGTTCCGTGATGATATTCTAATTTTGGAGCGGCGTCAGTAAATGTGTCCCGCAACCCAAAGGAGATGAGGTGCGCTGCGTGTTCTGACCCACAACATGCTGGCAGCAGAGCTGCTAACAGGAGACGATGAAACAGGTATGTTTTAAGTTTATTTAGCTCAGCAATGAGTGTATTCACACCTGCACTAAAGGTCCGGACCAACTCTGGAAACGAACTCTGGTTCGTTTAAAGCGGAGCAAATTATCAGGTCTGAATACGACCTTAGTTTGGTTCATCCTGTACAAAGAAAGAAAGCATTGTTGAACTCATCAATGCAAACAGACATGGATGCCCACAGAAGACAGTGGTGGATGCATGATGCAGAAATATTTCCATGAAGAGAAACCCCTTCACAACAGCCAACCAAGTGAACAACACTCTCCAGGAGGTAGATGTATCAATATCCAAATCTACCATAAAGAGAAGACTGCAATGAATGTAAATACGAAGGGCTCACTGCACGGTGCAAGCCACTCATAAGCATCAAGAATAAAAAGGATAGACTGGACTTTGCTAAAAAAAAAAAACATCTAAAAAAGAAGCAGAGTTCTGGAAGAACATTCTTTGGACAGATGAAACCAAGATCAACCTCTACCAGAATGATGGAAAGAGAAAAGTATGGTGAAGCTGTGGTGCAGCTCATGATCCAAAGCACCACATCATCTGTAAAACACAGCTGAGCAGTGTGATGGCTTGGGCATGCATGGCTGCCAGTGGCACCGGGTCACTACTGTTTATTGATGATGTGACACAGGACAGAAGCAGACCAATGAATTCTGAGGTATTCAGAGCCAGACTGTGTGCTCAGATCCAGACAAACAGATTGGTTGGCATTTCATATCACAGATGGACAATGACCCAAAACATAAAGCAACCAAAGCTGCTTTGGCTTTAAAGCCAAAGTTTGTTAAAGTAAAGAAGTGGAATATTCTTGAATGTTCAAGTCAGTCACCTGATCTCAACCCAACTGAGCATTTCACTTGTTAAAGACTAAACTTCAGACAGAAAGACCCACAAACACCAATCACTGCAGTAAAGACCTTGTAGAACATTAAAAAGGAAGAAACACAGCATCTGGTGATGCCCATGAGTTCAAAACTTCAGGCCAACGAAGAGTTTTTAACAAAGTATTAGAAATTAATATTTTATTTGTAATTATTTCATTTGTTCAGTTACCTTTGAGCCCCTGAAATGAAGGAATTGTTTTTAAAAATGCTTTAATTCCTCACATTTCTATGAAAAAAATTTGTTCAACCCACTGAATTAAAGCTGAGAGTCTGAACTTCAACTGCATCTGAAATGTTCAAAATTCATTGTGGTAACGTACAGAAGCAAAACTAGGAAAACGTGTCTGTCCATACAGATATGGATCTAACTGCACATTTTCTGAAAGGTAACAATAAAATATTGCAAAAACCCTCATGCTGTTGAGATAAAGAGTTGACTTATTTACATGTGCCGTAACAGGAAGTGATGACAAAGAGGAATGCCAGAGTGCTGCTACAACTGCTAACAACACAGACAGAAGCATCTGAGAGACTAAGAGTCAGATCAAAAAATATTATTTTAATAAACAAAGACTGGTGTTCCCCTTTGTCATCATTTCATGTTTCACTTTGGCCACACCAAGTTAAAATGTCAGTTATGACAAAAACGTGTAAAATTATGTATGTGTGATATTTCAAAKATGTTTGATATTTTCTTCCACTTTTTATATTTGTAAAAAATGCCTGTCACTGGCACGTTAAAACAGAACTTTTTTTGTCCTGGACTGTAGAAAAACCTGCAGATAGTGGATGAGTAATAGGTTTTTGTTTCTTCCAGATGGGAGGTAATAGCCAACTACATGAACTTGCACTCCACCAGTGGTATGAAGAGAACAGCCAAAGATGTCATCAATAAAGCCAAGAACCTTCAAAAACTCGGTACAATCAATTTACTTTTCATACTGAAGCACACTTATAACAAGGTTGACCAAAGTGTTTACAAAAAACAAACATCAGCAAACTATATCACGCAGTGTTTGTATGGGTGTTTGAAATCCTTGAAAATTCTTGAAATTTGTGTTTTCAAGGTTGGGAAAGTACTTGATTTCTGTATAAAGTCATTGAAAGTGCTTGATATTCCAAATGCAGTTTTGTAATAAAGAGCACTAACATTTTGAAACCTCAATTTAATATTTTTGGTTAAATGCACAAAATGGCAAGTGGTCATTTTTGCCTTTTAATAAAGCCTCGCTGCCGCTCGGAGCAGGTTTTCTTCTTTCTATAATACCGATCACCTGATAAAGATCAGCTGCCGGACCAGCAGTTTTGCTGGTGGCGCATGTCTCAGCAAGCTGGAGAAAACAGCCAGGGGGTTGCCGTTTTAATGACAGCTAGCTTGAAAATGCTTGCTACAAAAGAAAACAAAAAATAAAACATGGTTGAAATGAGGACAAAATCCTCAAAACGCCTCCTGCAAGATATTCTAGAAGGACCTGCAGCTTTTTGTGATGCGAGAGTCTGTGCTTCTGAACCATGTTGCAAAAGTAGTAGTAGGGAATATTAAATTTAGGCTAACTTACAACTTTGCAAGTAAATTCCATATTGATTGTTTGAAGGATGGACTCTAGGATGGAACTAGAGTTCTATGTCATCTACTGCAGGGGTTCTTAACCTTTTTGACCTCGGGGCCCAATTTATTGACCATAAAGTGACACGAGGCCCAGTCAGACATTACCAGTGTATGGATCGAAATGATAATTATTCTAAATCTTGGTTTAATTTTTATTGTATTTACATTATAACTAAATTAAATACACTTACATTTTAAAAGTCAAACTCCTGTCAAATAATCACAAGACATGATTATGACAAACATTTTTTGATATTATAACCTGCTTATAACAATTATTTGAACAAATACAAAGGTCAGTCAACAGACCACCCAGGCTTATCAACACAAAAATATATATTTTTTAACATAAACAATAACACAAACAGACAATTCAATAAATAAAATAGTGGGCATAAAATAAACAAATT